GGGGGGGGGGGGGGGGGGATATGTTTCTTAGGTTTGGTTTTCTATAAATGCCTTTCAACTATGAAATCACCAAACTGCCGGAACTTAAAGAGAACTTAAAGTCCCAATGTAGTTTATCAACGCCGATGTAACTCCTTTTAAAAGCAAAAGTTATTTCTAAAAAAGGGGTTCATGACACCGTGAAAAAGCATCCCTGCTTTAACCCTAAAGCCGTTACGGATACTGACGCTGCAGATGCTGATGTAAATGTAATGCTCCCCTCATTCGACACAAAAAAATGCAATTTCTGCAACTCCAAGACCCTATGTGTTCTGACCTTAGCAGCTCTCACCGCGGGTCAGCCCTATGGAGAAGGATACTGCAATTGCCATCTTACCCCGCGTGTTTTCCGTTGCACACCTTATTTAGGTTACCAGACTCTGGGCGAAGAGTACGTTAACATTGTACAAGTTGACTCCACCAAGAAAAGGGTGCCATCTTTTCTTCGACGGGCTGTCTTCGTTTCTCTTCACACCCTCGTACCCTATTGCTTAGAAAAGGGATTGCTGCATCTGGAACACGAGTTGCAGATAGAAGCTGATGAGTCCAGAACCTCGCAGAGCGACCCAGCGCTTGGCTCATCATCCAGCAGGACCTTAATACGAAACTGGATACAGAAACAAGCTGGGGAGCTCACAGAACAGCAGAAGAAAAAAGTCTTACAAATTGTGTATCTCCTGAAACAATGCATACCTTTGCTGCACCGGCTGCATCTGGCAGTATTCTACATACAGGGCACGTTTTATCACCTGTCTAAAAGAATCGCAGGGATCACGTATGTAAGTGGATGCATTTCTTGTTTGCAGATGGGGTCTGCTGCAGTATTTTGGCCTCTTGGGGTGCCATGGGTGCAAAAGGGATATAGAATTTGGCTGGAGCTGGTTATAATATGGGCAGACTGGCTGAGGGTAAAATTTTTAATGCTATATAGGTGGATTAGGAGTCTCTGCAGCCAAAAGATGATGGCTAATACATGTGAATGCACTGTCAGCAGCTAATACCCCATTGTAACTTCAGAATGCCATCTAGTCCAGTCTTCTACAAAGACACAAAAAGTGAGAAGGGGCTTAATAAATCCACGGGAAATACCTCAATACGGTTTTGAACAAAAATCAGTACGCACTTAGATAGCATTTCTCTGTATGAAAAGCTTAATTTCACATGGTATTTTCAGTATCTTTCAAAAAAACATCAGCCACTGGCCCAGAAATGTGTGTAGACACACAACTCCTCAACAGCTCCCAAGTGGGAGTGGAAAAGAGATGTCTGACTCTTTACTCAGAGCTTCATAACCAATTAAGGCAGCAGTTTTGATGGACAGACAGACAAATCAAGACAACTGATTGTTGCCCAAAGAAGTGAAGTGTAGCGTGACTGAGACCCACCCAGGACACATTAGACCTCCTGGGAGACAGCAGGTTGCTAAGTGCTAGAAAACATGTCAGTTTTTTGGACTGAAATGAGAATCCCAAATCAAAGAGTTCATTGGTGGGAGGGGCAATAGCTTCATAAAACCACAGTAACGAGGCATCTCTATTTCTGTGAATTTTCTAGCTGCCTTTTAGAGGACTGCAAGGAGAAGATCAGAGTATTCGAACAAGTTACAAGTTTCTTGGAATAATTTCACTCTTCCATCTTCTTCTAACAATTGGTGTTCAGATGTACAGCTTCAAACAGAGGCAGAGAGCAAGGCAGGAATGGAAACTACACCGCAACATGGCTCACCAGAAGTATGATTTTTACTTACTAGGAAAGAGGTGGAAGCAATGGTGGGAAATGGAATAGCTTTCATGAAGAGGGAGAACACTGGAGTGACACCTTGACTTGTTAGAACCTGATGTAATATAACACTGGATGCATTCCTCACTGTTTTAAACATCTCTTAGATTTCATGCTTTGCTTGCATGTTGAGATATTAACAAACAGCGTTAATACTTGAAGACAGGCTTTACTTTAGGCTTGTGTTCTCAAATATTTCTTGCAAGCAGACTAACTAAAAATAATATGTATCTATGTTAATTAGAAATACGACCAAGGGAAAAACTACGGGGCGCCGCTCCCGCTGCACTCTGTGTTTGGAAGAACGGAGACACACGACAGCCACCCCGTGTGGCCACCTGTTCTGCTGGGAGTGCATCACTGAGTGGTGCAACACCCGGGTAAGTACAGCAGAGACAGAGGCCAGAAGGGGGAAACATGATGAAATTTCTATTTCGAAAATACCTGTCAGCCCAGGTGTTGAAATCATTCCCTTTCCCTCACTAAGGCACCCAAAATCCCCACACGAGTTTACCAGGACCTGTATATTTTATCAGAATAGTCTGACTGTGCATTATATAGATGAGGTAAGTAAGGTGAGCAGTTTTTCTGTCCCAACCACTGAAATGCAGTTGGATTGCTTGGGAGTCAGACATGGAGATAGTTCCTTTACCTACAGACCTAGGCTATAGTTCTGACTGCAGACAAACAGAAGTCAATGTTCTGAAGCTTTCTTCACCTGTTTCCAGTGAAAAGGAGTAATTTAGTTACAACCAGACTGAGCTAGCTCTTACACATGGTATTTTAAACTTGGATTTTGCTCTGGATTAATGAAATACAGCAAGATTTTCATCCATTAAGGACTTTAGAGGCATTGTGGAATAAGACACTGTCAGTTTATTTTCTCTAAAGAATGAAAACTGCTTGCCAGAAAAAAAGGCATCAAGTGTTATGTATAGATAACATACTTTGTCTGTGCTGTAACTCAGATGTATTACTGCAGCTGTTTTACAAGTGAGCAGTGGGATCTACTGAAATTTTCCTACACGGACACTGGTCTGGCTGTGGTGGAACAGAATCAAGCAAATAAAACCTCTCAGAGAATCTCAAGAATCAATCTTGACACTAAAATCAGTATAGCCAAAGGCCTGTTATTTCAAGGCACTGAAATTATACCTGTGCAAGATGTTAAGTTCTACGATAGACACACCATTTGAAGACACTAACTAGAATGTAGCTTGTGATGAGCTGCTGCCTTCCTAACATCATTCTGACACAAGGCAGGAGACATCAAGTCACTTCAGATTTCCTTGCAGAGACCCAGCCATGTTTTCCTCAGTCTTGCCTGAACTATATTTTTTATGGTATTTGATGAAAAACATAAGGAAGATTGTTGAACATTCTTAATGTAACAATATTAGCTCCTGAGTACTGCCTTAGGAATCTGAAATTAAGAAGCAAAAAACTTAGTCCACTTGAAAATCAAGTACAGGGAAATAAAAGAAAACCCTAAACAACAGAACCAACCACCACACAAAGCTGTCATTAGCCAGCAGATGCAAAATGGATTTGTATCTACCTTCCAAAGCTTTAGTCTGGGCTTCTATAGTTTCCATAGGAAGCTGAAGCATCACAAACTAAAGTTTTCACACATACTTTCAAAGTCTGATTAGAGTAATTTAGGTAAATGATCCTTTTGCAGTGTGGCCTTATTCAAGCTTATTTAGTCTCTTATGCAGTTGGGCATCAATTAAAGGTTGTTCTTGTAATCTAGCATGAAGATTAGTCCTCACTTCCTCTAACACCTCTGACTAGAAAAATTAAGGAAGGACTTCAAATGAGTTAGCATTAGAAAGTGCCCTGCTGAGTGCCTGCTTGAAGTATCTTCAAATAATGTGGAGGCTAGAAATTTTAATATAACAGAAGTACACTTAGAAGGCTACTACTGACAACTTCAGTTATCAGTTTTCAGTGTGAGTACTGACAATAGAGCTATACTTGTTAAAGGACATTTATTTTAGACCATTATTTTTGCATTGCTCTCAACTCTAAAGCTGTCCCAGATGCACGTATATCTGTACATAAACAGTATTTAAAATGCATTACAGAGTGGCATTTCAGATCTGAAAACAAGCATTTGCTCTAATTGCAACTTCACCTTATCATTTGCCCTAAAGACTTGGTGACTAATTTACTACTTGAAGAACAGTTCAATGTCCATGGTACAGGATTTTTTGTTTCAGATGGAGACTTTGGGTTGCTTTTTCTGAACACTGACAGCAGTTACCATTACAGTAACTTTTAGTCTTTTAGAATGTAATAAATCCTTTGACTCTCCTACTAATTCACCAAGCAAAGATACAGAAAATAAAGAGCTTGATTTTTAAAAAACTAAGAGTATCTTGCAACATGCAGTCAGTATCTTTAAATACTATTTCTAGTGTACATGAATAAATGTTACCTCATACTGACTCTCACTGTAGCTTCTTCTGATTCCACTTGTTAGCAAAATTAAACTGAAGAAGTAGTATTGGCAGCTAGATTAAAAAAAATAAACAGGCAAACACCAAAAGAACTGTTAAGAATCCATCCAGTTTTTAAGCATCTGTATCACTTCAAGTTGCTCTTTAAATTGGACTAGCTTAAGTGTGCTTCATATGGTTAAGCCTGCATCACAAACTGGATGGAAAAAAAATGTTTTTTTAATGCTGATTATTTTCTAAATGTAGCTAAACTGTTACATTTGATTTTTTAAAAAAAAATTAAAACAGCAATTCAGTATATCTAATTTATTTTCTTTTTGTAGACGGAATGTCCACTATGCAGAGAGAAGTTTCATCCTCAGAAATTGATCTACCTACGTCACTATCAACTGTAAAGAAGTCTGCTCTGTTTCATGACAAGGGCCTCAACTCCCACACCCTTTATAAAGTTGTCATGCAGCTGGAGTTAGTCCAAGAAAAAGACTTTATTATAAAACTGGTAACTGCCTGTGCAAGGTAGCACTTCATTCCTGTTTTACAGAATAAATGTATTTCTGCCTCTACCCTTCTGTTTCTTCCAACATGGTTCTTGACCATATTAAAAATGTCTTTCTAAAAAGTACTGAACACAAATGTAATAGTTTTCTTCACTTTGGACAATGAAAAATCAGATTCTCATTCCTTAAATCTAAGTATAGATAACGAGTCTTCCAACCTTTCATAGCATGCTTAAAGTATAAGTAAAATTCCCCGTTTTTTAAGGACAAAAGCTGTACACAAATCCTTAGTTTAATGGTAGTGGAGGTTCTGGTGATAAAGTATATCACATACCATTCTGTTTTCGTAACGAGATTAACAATAAAGCAGGTTTCCTTGATTTGACAAACTGAATTTCCCTTAGATCAACAGAAGCAACAAATGCAAACCCACAGTAACGCACACTACTTTGCACTGATCAATTAACATTCAGTTCCCAAACTCAAAGCTCTTCTGTCACTATTAGATAAAGATTTTTCATCTGAGTATTCTAGACATTTAGACTACAGCAATGTAGCGAGTGTTTCAAAAAACTAATAGAAACTAAGGTCAACTAGAAAGCATCGGTTTTATAACAGCTTAAGTTTTGTCTGTGTGGTGCTTTCTACAGTCTTAACACAGATAAGGACGAAGCTGACTTCAGCCACAAGACCCCCTCCACTCGTTATGGCAAGACGAATTTATTTGTATTCTTTACATACAGATGGGGAGAAAAAGCCAGATGATCCACTCTGTGGATCACGAGTTACAGTTTCAGTAAATCTTTCGCATATGGCACTGAATATGGACTTGGGATGGCACGGGAAGTGTGCTTCTTTTAAGAGGGGTATTTGTACTGCAGAGATCCTGGTTAGCTCGTTAACAATTAAATCTCCAAGTGTTATTAAAATTAGTTTAACTTTTCCTATCTATAAATGGAATAAAAAATAGTTGCTGGTAACTACGCAAGCATTTAATCATTACTGTACAAAAGTGATTTCTTTTGTCCCTTTCTTATACCAGAAAGCTTTCAGGCATCCCTCACTTACTTAAAACTGTCAAGGCAACGGTGGAAGAAAAATGGTCCATATCATGAATCAAAACATGACTACCTAAGGAAATCACTACCTGATCTCCTCACTAAGAAACAGTAAGGAAAACCACTTAGTTGCACATAGAAACAAATAGGAAGCAACTGATGACTGGGAAGAATTTGTGAAGTTGTCAAGCCAAGGTTTTCATGCATTCTGTGAGGATAGTTTCTTTTTAGCACTTCTAAGTGTTAAAAATAGAGCAACGTGTATCAAAACGCCTTCGAACTTGTCTGGCCATTGCATGCTGGGAGTCAGCCAGGGAACTATACCACTGTCCCAACATCAGCCACAGCCCATATTTGGAAACCATTAATCCCGCAGAACGCAGAGCACCTACGCTCACCTAAGGATGAGAAGGCACTAATCTCAAGCTGCCACTAAAGTTCAAAAGTAAGTGGAGATAAAAATGTTTAATTTGCAATGGATGTCGTTAACACTCTGTTGTTTAGTAGGAGTCATCCCAGTCATTAATTTTAATGTTAACAAACATAAATATCATCTTTTTCTCCCTGATTTGCCCGTATTATTCAGAAAATCCAGCAAACCTGAAGACAGTTTCTCCAAGTCAGGTGACTGGTGCTCCTGTAAGGCCCTTTCTGGATACTGTGTTTTCATGTTTTTAATTTTGACATTACTAGTTTCCATGCTGCTAATAAAACAAACGCATACAAATAAACAAAAAACAAAGAGATCAATGTGAACTAAAACTATCTGCCATTTTCCCAGGATTACTGAGGGCTGAATTCCAGAGTTCCATAATGACTTCCTTTGACAGTAACAGATGAAAGGATGCCTACATACATTTTCCAGTTAGGTGTCTGTTAAAGTTGCCACTATTTTCCATTCACAGTCGTCACAGAGCTAATCTTTTCCTACTTTCTCCAAGTGAATGCTCCCTGAAGAGTTGAAAAAGGCATTGCATGAAGGTAAGTTGAAGGTTACCATTATTGAAAAGGAGCCAGAAATACTGTTAGATCAATAGATGCATATAAAGATAGAGAACAAGTAAAGGGGGACACTGTCTTTTAATAAATTTTGGAATTAAAAAGTCACTTAATAAAACTGCAGTTGTATCACATGAAAAAGTTTACATGCAGGTCATTTATCTCTGATTTTTTTTGTTTTTTCCCCATAGAAAATGAAAAGCTGTGTTAAACCCCACACCGTTTGTCTGCTATGGCCAGCTTGGGTATATTCTCAAGGGGCTGCATGAAGTCATCTTAAATTAATCAAGAAACCCCTAAGTATGAAAGAAACTCCAACTAATAACAATTAAAATATATATTTTTATAATTCTAGGTCCTCAAAGGAAATTGTGATAGAGTTTGAACAAAGTTTTGAGTCATCATGAAAGAGCCCCAATTTTAGCATCTGCTGGAGATGCAATGCTGAAACTGGCATTGAAACCCAACACAAATGAGTAACTTTAGAAGCTATTATGAGTATTTTTTCCCTACTGCAAACCCCATAATCTAGGAGATTTCTTATTCCTATCTATATTTGTTTGGTTATAACTCAGTAATACCATGCATTTAGGAAACTGGCTTAAATTCTGCATCTATAGGTCTACTGAATTCTTATATGAAAATAGCACAGGCCATGAAGCAGAAAACAGCATCATGTGTGCCATCTTACATTTTTCCTCCACATATGTGCACAGCACTTCAGGGTGATACTGAGCAGGAGAACTATGTAAAAATACTCAACTCTAAGCCATTAATCGCTCCAGTGCAATGGATCTTGAAAGAAATACATTATCCCAAATCCATGGGATTATCCAAAGTTTCACCAACTGCTTACAAAAGGTAATACACTCAATGCAATTTGGTTAGAATGCCAGTTTCTTCAAGAAACCGATATTTCAGATAAAAATAGCAAGATCCTCTTAAAATGAAAATTCAACTGCTTTGTCACCACTCTGTTAATCATTTTTTATGAAGAAAAAAGGCATTGTTACAATGGCTCAAAATCGTTCCTTTAGTTAGAAGCAGAATTGGTCAACAGGTTGATTGCATCTTCTAGCTAGCAAAGGTCTTTCCCACATCTTCTTTCCCTTTGTATTTCCTCTTGCCATGTGTGAAGGGAATATATCTGTACTTTATCATGTGCTGTAAAGAGAAGAGATCAATTTTTGAGGCAAGAAACTGACATGGTACTAAAAAATGTTTAATAACACATTGTAAACTAAGAAGTCCTCTAGAAAAACAGTTCTTCGGTATTGTAAAGGTAAAGAAATAGCTCATCATACACCAATTTACATCTAAATAGGGGTACGAGCCCAATCTTATAAATCTCAAATTTGTGTATACCCAACAACTTACACAGTACAAAAATTACCGATTGCGGGATCACAGGAAACTGAAGAGAGCATAGAAGTACTAATTCTTTACTACCCCTTGATCTTTAATTTACAACTTTGAATAGCAGCACCTATGCAAATTCTGAATGTCTGGAAAAAAATAAAATTGGTTCTCTTTTTAAAATGCCAACGAAATGTAAGAAATTTGTTATAAATAGTCTGAATGACTTACTTATGTTCTTCTTCCCCTTTTCTCCATCTACTTTCTCACACCAATCTGTCAGAACTTCCCTTTTTACCCATTAGAGATCTTACAAGACCTCTTCAATTAAAAATAGCCACAGTTAACTGAAGAAAGGAAGTTGGTAAGAAATTATAAGACTCTTCTGGCATAAAAACCAGATATTGAATTCTGAGATTGAAACTTTTGAAAGCAAGCATAAAATTTTGTAACGTAGCATATGAAGACTTCTTTTACCAAGTATTTTCGTTTCCCATTGTCAATATTTGCTCAAAGTTCAACTAATGTTTAAGTGTTAGTTGTTCAAATTCCTCCAGTGAAAGAAGCGTGTTCAACATATTTAATAGCTCCGAAGTGCTCAACTGGATGGAAGTTTGCAACGATAATGTAAATTCTGACATCACAAATGCTACTATCTATTCTTGGCAAGTTACCTTGATTTGCCTCTTCATAGTGATACAAAATAGCATAATGAAGTACATCACAAGGATTGGCCAAAAAACAGGAACGTTGAAAGCCTCGAAGAATGTACATGCCATAGCAACCAGGATTCCTTTAGTGGCAGAGTGCCTTAAAAATAATATTAATAATTAATCCTTCAACCCCAGCTACCACTAATTTGATGCATTTATTTATATCTTTCAAAAACAGAACATGGGCAGATGGATCCACTCACCAGAATTTAAACTCTGGGAGCCTTCTAATGAAAGGCCGAAATTCTTCATTTTGCCTTGTAGGTAAAGAAGGACCATCATCTGAAAAACACAGAAAAAAGAAAAAACAAACCCACAAACCCTCTCACACTATTTTTCTGCACTATTCAGGCTCCAGATTTTTTTTTTTTTTTTACTTTTTATCTTTAAAAAACAAAGAAAATTTTCATTGAGTTGGCTGGTTTAATGTAAATTAACAGTTTCCCAAAACGAAACAGATAACAGAAACGAGTGCCAGGTCACTTAGGTTACTATGGGGATAATTTAAGTCACATAAACTTCTTTCAAAACATAGAAAACTAATATAATATGGAATATGTTGAAGTCCTGAAAGAGGGACAAATTTTATAGTAACATCTGATGTCAACTTGCAGAGATTTTCTGCACATCTAAAAACACAATGTCATGCTAGAACTGCACATCTTTACTGTATCAGAAAAAAAGAGCTGGAAGCTTGACTTAGTTCAAAATTATCGCAAAATGAACCATTCACCATACCTGAATCTTCCATTAAAGAGGGGTCTACCTTTGGCGACAGGAAAGCTATGAAGAGATTTAGATGGTAGATTCCCAAGGCATATGTCACAATGTACCAACCCTGAAGCAGGGAGGAAGAAAGCTAAGATTAAAGTATTTATGAAAACCATTTGCAGACACTGATTTTTCAACAAGATTAAACAACCTGGTTTTTTTGCTTCCCTGAGAAGTGCTTTTCTACATCCTCACAATAGCATGAAAAGTTTTCTCGACTAGTTAAAAAAAAATTTTATACAGCGTGAATTTTAAATAAGCATTCTGAATTTATGAAAAGATGAAATCACCTTTATCAATGTATTTCTTTTATTTGCGTACTGACAGATAACATGGGTAACCATTGTCATTTAAAGGTACCTAAATACTGACTAAACTTACTGCAATACAAATAAGCAAGAGAGAAAAAGAAAACCAACTAGCCTTCTCAAGCTACATGTTTTCTAAGGTATACTACTATAAACCTACTGTATTAATCAAAAGAAGCCTTAGAACATGAGAGCAGGGCAAATCCCTCATGTATTGACAGATTTAACATGAAAACTTTTCTCAGGCATCCAGGCTCTATGTTCAAGATGCAGACACTGTAAAAGCAGCATAAAAGTAGTTACAGCATAAACCCACCACTTGCTCATCACCTTTGCAGGCTTCAGTCTCTTAAATGTTCCTATTACTACCACCTGCACAGCCTTCACATTCAATCCCTAATCTTTAGATTTTCGGGAGTAACAGTTCTCAAATTGTTCACTGAATTTCAGACTGGCATGAATCAGAGGCATCTGGTTAGTGGAGGAATGCTGCTGGCCTGCAGTGACAAACACGCTGAAAAGGCAGTTCTTTATTGTTTGCATGACAGAAGGTAACCACTGGCTCCTCAACATGCTGTTACACAGCTGTAGCATAAAAGTAAAAGCTTAATTGCAACAGAGTTTTCAGAAATTCACTATGTAATTTCATCAGAACTAAGGGAGTATTTCCACTTCCTGTTGCCATCAGATGAATATCCTCAAGCATTTGCACATTCTCCATTCTGAAGAACTTTTAACACCAATGTGCTCTTTCTTCAGAGCCCCTAATTCACCTTCTACTGTGTGCTAAATGACACCATGTGTCATTCCAAAGCAATACCATACTTCAAAAACACTCTTAACACAAAAAATAGAACAGTAATGATATCTAAAACTACTTTAGCAGTAAATTCAGTTTTCCTACCTGCAGTAAATAAACTCTAATCATGTAGATAAAACTCAGACCCAAAGTTACAATCCATCGCACTGCAGTATATGGAGTAGATTTGTCTAACCAGGATTGGTAGATCTAGGAGGAAATATAAAGTGTACATCTGTAAAATACATGATGCACAATGAATAAAGTTTATTACAGGGTAGCACTAGAAATAGCAAGCATTTGTGAAAAGTATTTTGGGAAGGAGAGTAACGTGAAAACATTTGTATTCCTTAATACAAATAAACTGAATTAAACATAAACATACTTAAAAGCCTTTGGAAAAATGCTATGTTTTTATAAAGGCAAAAAAATTTCTTAGGGCTTGGGACATCATAAAGCAATTTAAATTTTCAGCATTTTATGCAAGTTTACTTCCTTTAAGACAAATATGACATGACACCTGAAGTCACTCCTCTATACATTGTTACTCTCACTGTACAATGTCACACACATACACATTGAATATTCCATTAATCTATGTATTATAGTATTTGTTATCTATTTTTAAAAGGCTTCAAAGGAAAACTTTTGTACAAATTTTAGCGTTTCAACAACTCATCCAAAAAGTAATGAGTTTAAGGAGCTGCACTGAGGCCTGCTTCTAATGGAGTCAGAAAAACCCTACAGAAAACCAACCTGTCCAAGTCTTGAGAAAAATCTATAGACCACAGAAGGCTTTCCATGCACAGACTCACCAATACTGTCCCCTTCTGACATGATTGCTGTGGAAACAGAACAGGATACACAGATAACGTTTAAAACAAAAATCTAAGCTCCATAGTAGTGAAGCTTTACAGTACTTTATTTGAACCAGCATTTACATATGATACTCTTTTGGATTGCCCTGTTTGAAACAAATTGTTCTTAATGAAATATTCTTAACGAGAGGACAGTTATTCCAAAATAAATTAATTTCCAAAATAAATTGTCAAGAAAGCAAAGAACAGGTTATTTTACAAAGGCAAGACAGGATCCAATCCATTTTAAGGTGGGGGGGGAAGAAAAAGTCCATACAGAAATGCAGGAATGAGCCTCATTAGACATCTTCACCTTGATAAGGCAGGAGCTGAGTTATAACATCTAAGCATTGAGATATGAACTGCAGCACCACCCTCCCGTCACCTCAGATTCTAAAGGCAAAGAACAAAACCAAAATAAATATTTTCTTTAAAGCTGCTTAGGATTTTTAAATACTGAGTAATTAGATAGCAAAGAAGTTTAATTTCAGGACTCTGTACACCAGTGGTTACAGACTAAATTCTACCTAATTACCTAAACCAACACACTGTCCACTGCTAGAATTATTCAATGAGTTTATCTCCCTCTTGAACGTGAAGAGCTCAGCAGTCACAAAAAAAAGTTTTATGCATTAGCAAAACTGTGTAGTAAAAGGCCCAGGATTCTGAACTCAGGTGAAAACATTAACCAAAGGAATTATTTTTTAGTATATGCTCTGCTACCAAATTAAGATCCTTATTTTTCTTTTCAGTTAAGCTCAACTAAGTTTTACAGCTCACTTCAAGATATAAACCAAACAAAATAAAATGGATTCTAAACAGAAACATTTTTGCCACATCACCAAAAGGAATCCCTGACATCACTTCCTGGAGTCCTCATCAGTGGGTGGGACTCCATAGCTGGGATAGTGGGAGTACTTTCAGCCCTGTATTAATATCTCAAGAGCCTCAGATGACAATAAAGACACACAAAACATGACTCAATCAGAAAAATGTAAGTTATCTTAGATGCTGCAATATAGTAACTGTTGCAAAAAGTTGAGACCAATGACAATCTGGGGAGGCAGAGAACCTTAAAGTTATCTATTTTTTCTGTAAACATCTAGAAACTACATACTATGGCATAATTAGTAAGTAGAAAAAAAGGAGTTCTATTACACTTCAAAAGATAAGGGCATTCATTATGGAGCTTCAGGAGCTGCAGTCCACTTTAATTCAAGCTATAGCTAGAAAAAATCAAATCAGAACTCATACAATATAGATACAGACTTTTTCAACACAGGCAAAAGGAACCAATTATTATTCTCCCCATTCACTGCACTGCAGAAGAAAAGTTACTCAGCATTATTAGTCAAGCATAATTTTATGCTTTAGTCTGGGGTTTTTTCGAAATGTCCTGAAGTATAAAACCATGACAAAGATATTGAATCTATTAATCAGATAACAATTCTCTGAAGACCATGAACATAAGAATTCTCCTAATATCAAAATTAATTTTACAGATACCTCCGTAACAAATACGGGCTATAAGTACACCTAACATTACAATCTTCTAAATGTTAAGTTATGCAAATCAAATGAAGAATCATGTATGTAAGGCTACTGATGTCTTTATGACAGAATAGGAATTTTGCTTGGTATAAAAAATGACATTGTATGTGATCATGTGATTATTTTTTTTATTGTACGTACAGCTCTTCCATAGCAGACCAAGAAATACAGTCAGCTAAGACTGTCTTAGTGAAATTCTCACCAGCTCAGTTTAAGTAGCATAGGCTGAAGTGGATCGCATGACACAGTTTAGAAGTTAATGTTTCTCATCATATTAAAACTTTACTGAAAGAACATCTGTATTTAGACGATTATCAAGAAAAGCAGTCTTTGGCACTTCTTTGAAGGTAGTTCACAGTTAAGAACAGAAGTCAGACCTCACTGGTTTAAGGGAATAATTAAATCTAAACAGTAGCAATCCCCTTCCATAATGTAACACAAGACTTTACTGTTCAACATAATGAGTTATGATAAGCCTTCAGCCATTTCCCTAAAGCCAATTATCAGAAAGTTGTACAAAGATTACTATAACAAACAATTGAGTAGGTTGCTACTAGCGGAATATGGACTGCTACTAAAACTAGACCATAACCAAATGGTTTTCTCTGCTGAAAAACACAAACTAGGCGAGTGCATGACTTTTAACAACTATGTTTGTTACCACAACTGTTATGGTACTATCATTACAAATGCCACTGCACCGTTGAGTTCTCAAAAAGGATAAGACCTGGGGCCGTAAAGGCATTTAAGTTATGACTCACATCATCACATACAGAGAAGTACAGAATTTTTAAACAATACTCTGATTGATCAAGATTTTTTTTTTAATTTGAAATAGAAATGAAGCATATAACTACCAAAACCATATTACTGCTCACACAAGTTTCCTTATTCATAGAGAAAACGTCTGAAGAGCAACACCAATGCCATTTATTAAGAACACGGTGAATGGACAACCGCAGGAAAATGACCCGTTGGTTGCGAAAAACGGGTTTTTACCCTAAAAAAGTCACCGCTTCGCTTTACCCGTTACAACAGCAGCCCGGCCTGACAGAAACTCCCAGCTGCCTGAACGGCAGCACCCGCGCTCCCTGCATTTACCCGGAAACGCGGAGTTCACGTACCCTGAGCGCTACCTAAGGCGAAACGCTGCGGGCCAACAGCAATACAAGACACTCTGGAAAACCGCAAAGCTTTTGGCACTGTTCTGGCACAGAAACCAGAACGAGAGGCCCGAGAGGGGCCCGCTAAGGCGAGGAGGGCCCGGGACCAGCACCAGGGCGGACAGCGGCTTGGCGGGAGGTGAGCAAGCCCTGCGGCAGGCCCAGGCAGGC